GGGTTTTCCTGCGAGGTGATCGGCTCTCCTGCTTAACGCATCGGCTCTGGCGTTCTCTGATCCCTTTCTGTAGGTGATCTTTATGTTATAGGACGCTAATTCTTCAGCCTACCTGACCTGTCTTCTGGTTAGTTCCTTGGTGGTGGTGAAGTGAGTTAGGTTCTTATGATCGTAATAAACTATAACCTGGTATTTTGCCCCTTTAAGGTAGTGTCTCTATTCTTTAAAAGCCGTGACTATAGCTAGGAGTTCCTTGTCGTGGACGTCGTAATTTAGCTCCGGTGGGGTTATTTTGCGAGAATAATACGCGATAGGGTGGAGTTTCCCTTGCTCGTCTGGTTGACTAATATAAGCTCCGATAGCGTAATTAGAAGCGTCTGTTTCGATAACGATTAGTAGTTCCGGATTGTAGATCCTAAGAACGGGAGCTTTATAAAACATCCGTTTTAGCGATTCGAAGGCGATTTGTTGAGCTTCTCCCTAGTTGAATCCGTGCTCTTTTCGTACGAGTCTCGTGAGGGGTTCTGAGACTTCGGCGTATTTCTAGATAAATTTCCGGTAAAAGTTAGCAAATCTAAGGAAGGACTGTACTTCTTTAACGGTTCTGGGTACTGGCTAGTCTCGTATGGTATCTAGCTTCTTTTCGTCCATCCCTACGTGTCCTGGTGAGATGACAAAGCCTAGAAATTCCGTCCTTTGGACGTGCTATTCGTACTTTTCTGGTGCGACTTGCAGGTCTTTGCCTTGTAGTGCCTGGAATACTTTCCTGACGTGTTTTTTGTGCTCTTCCAGGGTTTCCGAATAGATGAGTATATTATCTAGGTAAGCTATATAGAAGACGTCTAAATAGTCGCGTAACGTATCGTTGACTAGACTTTGAAACGTTCCTGGGGCGTTCGTAAGACCGAAAGGTATAACCGTGTACTCGTAATATCCTAGACGTGTCCTAAACGCGGTTTTCCATTCTTCCCCTTCCTTTATGCGTACTAAATAGTAGCCTTCTCGAAGGTCGAGTTTAGTGAAGTATTTTGCCGTCCGTAGCTTATCTTGAAGCTCGGTAATTAACGGCAATGGATACCGGTTTTTGATGGTGATATCGTTTAACTGACGATAATCAACGTAGAGGCGTAATTTACTATTCTTCTTTGGAATAAAGAGAATTGGGTATCCGGCTGGCGAGCTTGATGGCCTAATGTAGCCGCGTTCGAGGTTCTTGTCTAGGTAGTCCCTAAGTGCTTCGCTTTCCTTCTCGGATAGTGTATAAATGGGCTTAAACGCTGGCTGCGTGCCTGGTAATAAAGGTATCTCGTGATCCTATGGCTTGTGTTCCGGGAGTTGGCCTTTGCCTCGTTCTTGGAAAATGGCTTGGTAGTCCTAGTATTCTTCTGGTACCGTTTCCAATTCTGGAATAGGCGGTTCCCGCTCTCGCTTTGGAGGCGTACTAGGCTGGTACATTCCTTTCGCAGGTATGGGTTTTCCCCCTGGTGGGTGACCTGCCTTGATCCTGATTAGATCGTCTCCGAGGGCCGGTTTTGGCCCGTCGGTTTTTGGCCTACTGGCCTGCATGTGTGCTAGAATTCGTTTTTCCGTTTCTTGACTAGGCTTTAAATACATTATGTAGATCTTTTCTCCCCTGCGTCTTATTCGTTTAAGCGCTGCGGCGGAGATTTCCTTGATTTCGATTAGTTCGGAGGTTTCGGTATTTTATTCTAAGGGATCCTTTTGGGAAGCGCGCGTACTGTTCGGTCCGTTTTAAACGCTCGGTCCTCTGGAGCTCTAGTACTTATAGCTCTAGCTTTTCTGGTTCTGGCTGCTTTGGCTCTGACTCCTAAGCTCTGGCTTTCCTTTCCTCTGGCTCTCTGGGCTCTCGTTTGCGTGGCTCTCGGTTGTCCGCTGAGCTTCTATAAGGTGTTGGTTGTAGTCCCTATCTGGGAACGTGACTTCCCCTGTTCTCTATCGAATGTAGGGTTCGTGTGTTCTTAACTATGGTATTCCTAAGATTATGTTATAAGAAGCGATGGTTGTGATATCTAGGTTGATTTTTTCCTTGTATTGGCTAATAATAAGGGTAGATTGGTTGGTTTCGATTCGTACCTAACCCTTTCCGTAGGTGGAGGGTGTTCCGTTAACCGTATTAAGCGCGTAAGGCTCGTCCTTAGCTTAATATAGCAGGCGATTTTTGATGACGAAGGCGGGACTGATAAAGTTACCGCTTACTCCGCTATCTATTATAATCCTAGCGCTTTTCCCATTGATTTTGGCGGTGATTATAAGGTGTTTCTAAAGATTTGTTCCGGTAGGTATAGTTCCGTTCGCTGTTCTGATTACCTGGTTTAGGGACCTAGGCTCCGGCCCCTACAAGGGTCCCGTGTATTGCTGTGCAGGGCCGTCTAGTTTTTTAACTGTCCCTTTTTAGATCCTTAGTCGCTTAAGCCCGGCGTATCTTCGTAGAGTTCGCCGTTGTCGCTGTTAACTAGTAGATCGTCTTCCGGGAATTCCTCTATAATCCTTTAGAGTTCTTCCTTAGTGGGGTTTTCCTATTTGTTCGCGTTACGGACTTGCTTGGCCGATTGCTTCTTAGGCTTACGTAGGAACTATCCTATGACTAATTTCTTACTTTAATGGGTCCGGCAATTATCGTCGTAACATGTAGTCTAACTAAGCGTTCTATGCTTAGGTTCTTTTCGGGCTGCTACTAACGCGGTTCGATTAGTAGCAGCGGCTTCTTTCCCTTTGTCCTTGTTTCGCAGATTCTGCGGGCAGCTGTATCCGGGTTCCTATTTGTTACTATAGTAGATATAGAGGTTCTTGTTGAACCTTTCCTTTTGTTGATCGGTCTACTTGCTGTGGGCTTTGCGGTTGTTCTTTCCTTTTTTGCCTTTGTCCTTGTTGTCCCGGGATGAGCTGTCTAATTCTATAGCGTCACCTCCTTCTTAGGTGTGTCTTAGCCTTATAGATCGAGATGTGTTGGCTTGCTTATCCCAGCCGCGCTGTAAGCGGCGGCGGTCTAATATAGTAGCGAGTTAGATTATTTCCGCAAGATTGTCGGGTTCCTCGTGGTAGGTTATTGCTTCCTGAATTTCGTCCTTTAATCCTTAGGCGTAGAACGTCCTAAGCGTGTAGTCGGTGTAATATCCGGCTACGTATACCGCGTTCTAGAAGTCTGTAGTGTAATCTAATACTAACTTCTTCTATTTTAGGGTTTGAAGCGTTCTTATGGCCTTGCGGGTCTCGTCGATGTCCGTAAAAGCTTCTTTAAGGTACTTAACGAAAGTTCGGTAGTCGTTAAAGACCTTCTGAGTTCGATCGGTCTATTCCTACTACTGTTTTTCCTGGCGTTCTCGCTTTATTAGACGGAACTATTTTTCCGCTGCGCCGCGTAGGTAAGTACTAGCGTATAGGACCTTCTCTTCGTCGTCGGCGAATTGTCCGCGCGAGAAGTAGAGGTAGTCGTCTAATTGAGTAAGGAAGTTCTGGGTCTTGTACCGGTCTCTATAGTAGAGATCAGGCTTTGGAACCTTGGTATAGGATATAGCCGGTACAGCTAGGAGTAATGCGGCGGCGGGCGCGGACGCATGTTAAACCGGTTAAGCTCCCTGTAGTAGGGTTGCTGGGGCTGTGTTTTCCTGCGCTGGCGGACCCGTCTATAGAACTTACCCTTAGTTAATACGGGCTCGAAGGCGTGTATTTTCCTGTATCTAATCGTTTAGTTACGACTGGAGGTTAGCTATTTGTCCCTGCATGCCTTGCATCATGGCGAAGATATTATCTAGAGTCGTAGGGTTCCTCTGCTGCTGTTGCTCCTAGGGGATACTGCTGCCGTCGTTTATATCGACTATTAATATCTTATTCTGTCTTAAATTAGATAGGACGGGGTGATACTTTACTAATTAATCTTGACTCGGTCTTAAGTCTTCCTTCCTTCTTGCAAGGATGGTGGTTAAAGTGTAACGAGGCCTCTTCAGCCTAGGCGTTGGAATTGCCTAGCGGGTGAATAGGTTCGAAGGATTTACCTTAAAGGATAAGAAGTATAGGAAGTTAAGAGATAAGTTACGTGAATATCGGGGTAGGCGTGTTACTATTAACCTTTAGTAGAGATTGATACTTTGAGTTAACTACGAAGGTCCTATCTACTGCTAGAGAGCGTGGTCTTATATATATATAGGAGATGCTTAACAATCTAGGTCCTAGCCCTTAGATTAGGAGGGTTGGATTAAGGATATAGGATTACTATAATCTATTGGTCCGTACGTCCTTCGGGTTAGAGACGTTGGATTACTATAATCTAAGGTAGGTCCTGCACGTGACCTTGGTACCGCTTTTCTAACAGCTAACTTCCTGCGACCTGATAACCTTCTTCCTTATTGTAGAGCGGACGCGATAAGTTCCTTGTCCTTGATCGCTCTGTAAGCCTATTGTCGGCTTTGCTACTTTTATCCTTGTGGACGATAATCCCTTGTAGGCTTCTTAGGGTTGTGGTCTTAGTTCCCTTACGGCTTTGCCTAGTACGTGTCTGCTAGTACCCTGCGGGACGCGAGCCCTTGTGGTTACTAAGCCCTTAAGGTCTCTAGGCCCGTGTGGGCCTTCTTCCTATAAGGTCTTCTTAACCCTGCGGGTTGATTTCCCTTATAGTCTATAATAACTTTACTCTCTTCCGAGGATTACTGCAGCTGCTCCGAGCTGTCCTTTTACTTTAGATATATCTATAAAGATTCGTGTAGCCTGATTTAGTAGTAGTTCTTTCTTAAAGGCCTCTAAAGTTTCGGTTTTAGGTAACTATAGGTAAATACTCTTAAGCGGCGTTGGCTTCTATAGTAGGAAAGGGTAGGTGTCGATTATTTTAGTATCTTCTGCCTAGTTTAGGTTTTATAGCTTGAGAGTTGCGTTAAGGGGGCTAAGGAAACTAGCTACTAGGTTAAGCTTTAGGGGTACTTTATTGACGAGAGCTCTACATGGGTGCGAAGCTGGAAGCGTTCTAAGGTTAGAGATAACCCTCTCCGCTCGTGCCTAGAGACGTAGCTTTATTAGTAGAAGAAAGTTCTCGTAGTCTAGTATTTAGGTAGAAACGGTTTAGAAGGCTAAGATAGCCTTGGTTGTTACCATCCTTTAAACCCTAGAGAGTACTCCTATTTGCTATTTATATCTCTTTGGGGAGTGCCAGACCGTTGAGGCGTAGTCTAATTAGGGAATAACGTATACTTAATAGAGCTAGCGTATTTGTTTCGGTCGAAGGTGCCTTAGTCTGCTAATAGCTAGGCAGGTCTTGGTTACTCGTGTGACTACTCTCTAGACGTGGGCTCTCTACCGGAGCTGCTGATCGAAGACGACTCCTAAGAGCTTTACTTCTCGTCTTGGTTCGATTATATAATTGCCTATAACTATTGCTCCTGGATGAGTTAGGTCTAAGCTTCTTATAAAGTAAATAAGCTCTATCTTATTAGCTTTAAAGCTTGATCTGGTCTTTTCTGCTCAGCGTTGTATTCTTGGGATATCTTCTCTCTGTAGTGCTGTAAGGTTCTTGCTTATAGACCGGCTTATCCGCCATCGGTAGTAGTTATTAATGTAGGTAGATGCTCCTCTAGTAAAATCTACTGGTTGGTCTACTAGGTCGGCGTTGTAGAAGGCGAATAAGACTGGAGAGAGT